ACAGCATCCCTTCGGAAGATGCTGGGCTTTTCCAGATGGTACGGGAAAAGCAAAATGTTATTGAAGGTTTTACTAGAGCGATGTTCCTCGGATGAGGGTGGGGGAGGATTGGGAAACCTTTCCCTTTTTCTCTCTCCCTCCTCTCTCATCCCTTAATAAGAGGGGATGGAGAACGAATGCTAAAGGAGAGTCAAGATCGAGGGTTGCACCACCGCAGCACCCAAAGCGCGGCGGTCTGAGTTCATTGCGCGAGTCATCAGTATCCATAAGTGATGAGTTACCCTCGTCCTCCCTCTGCTACCACCCCTACTGTACAGGTCAGGTTAGACTAGGTAGGCACCTGGTTCGGTTGTTCGGCGCGCACCCTTCGACGCCGAGGAGACCAGCCAAGGACGGGAGCAGAAGGGATGATGGTAGCACTGGTTGGCAGAGGGTAGCAGTTCGGCTCGGGCAGAGGTGGGTGCTGGCTGAAGGTTGAAGGCTGAAGGTAGGAACAGTGGGGGTGGCTGATTTTCTTAGGTCAACGTATAATGAAGCCTCGACGATGGTAGAACGCGGACAGCTATCCCCTAGACCAATCCTGGCTCTTCTGGTGAACCACCCTTGCACCCTAACCAACCACTACCCGCCAGACGTTTCCAGAAACAGTACTTTGACTGTACCCTCTATCTACACCGGTACCATACGACACACGATTCACCCTTCCAAATATCTCAACCCCTAACGCTCTTCGTTCTAATCACAAATTCGCTAAAATTCACCCCTTAGATATAACAGTCGATCCCATTACTATCTATCAGTCTTCCAAGTGGTTAGGTTACCGAACGAACCAGACCCACTGAAGTCTCAAGCGCTGACAATAACCCTTAAAAAAAATCGCCCAAAAATATCCAAGAAGAACACAGCCTTCCATAGGAGTACCTGAACTACAGGAATGCAGTGGTGTTCCCTGGTTTGCGAAGCGGAGCAGAAAAAGATTAGAAAAGAAAGAATAGAATCTTGTGAGGCGGCGGGTGGGGTTGGCTAAAGGAGCAGGGGGGGAAGCGATGGCCGAAACGTCGAATGGCGATGTTCCTCAGAGGCAACGGGGCGAGATGGAAAAATTGCCTCGATGTAAAAACATGAGGATCGCTTCTGCCGTCCACACTCAATAAAAGGAGCCAGAAGCACAAGAGATACTTACACGGGCATGTTGGGGTAACCAAGATGGCTACGTGTATTATATACACGCATATATATAGTACATGGACTGCTATCCACACTGGGGCGAGTATATGGCGGAGGAGAAATAGAGTAGAATATAGTGAAAGGTGGAGAAACTGATCCGCATCGAGTCGAGTGGTCAGCTATCGACGGCATCCCTTCCATCCAGCCACCCCTTTGCGAAGAAGAAGAAGAACCGACTCTATGGCTCCTACTGGCAATAATAAAAAATATACGATCACCCAGCGCAGACCAGACCCACCTAAAGCCAACATGGGAATCCCGATGGACGCGAAGATGCCGAATTATACTCCGAGGCCGGTTCTAAGTGATCGCATTTCCACATAGACGAGCCACCCCTCCACTCCCCCCGATACGATATGAAAGACTGCCCGATGCTATTGCACCGAGATACGAAGGAGGATTCGGAAGGGTGGTTTGGCATTTTCTACTTATTTCCTGGGATAACTTTAGGTTACTGTATAGAAAAAGGAGAATGGGGGCAGAGTGGGGGATGGATTATTCGAAAAAGTAACGGTATAAGATATTTTAGGAAAATAGATGTTTATGATCGGATACCGTTGCCACGTATGCACTTTGTGAAAATTTGAAAATAGCGGCTGTCCATGCTGATCTCTTAGGTTTGTTCCTTATGGTGTCTTTCTTTCACTTTTTTTTCTCGATCCTCTACTTTAGCTTGAATGGATGGTCGTATGCGGGATAGCTGCGAAAAAGAAACTATTACAACGAATCTATCATAGGGGTTCACTGTACGCCAGGGGTGAGTTCTCCCTAACTTCCCTGTAGAAAGATGATCCATTCGTCATAATATAAAAATGGCCGTGACAGCGTTATCTGCGGCCATTTCCTGCAGCCCGAGCGGCGCAGAACTCACTTGTCACTATACCGGAGGTAATGATCATTACTGGGGTTTTCATCCCTTCTTTCCCTGTCCCAGCGGCACGTAGAGGTACCTAAGCGAAAGAGACACCCCAGAAAAGAGATGAAGAGGAAGAAGAAGAAGAAGAAGAAAAAGAAAAGTAGCAAAGATGCTGAGGCATAAGGAGTAGAAAGAAACGGAGGATGATATAGACGGTACTTTCAGCCCTCCTTCGTAAAGGGTAGTAGTAAGGCAACCGGCGGGGGGGGGGG